CAGAATATAATATGCATTATCCATGAAGTATTGAAGTTCAAGCCATAAAAATGATATCTATAACTATATTTGATAGGCCTCGATAAGACAATTGAAGCCCCCAATCTAACTTCAAAGGCTTAGCCAACGTAGCCCAAAACTTAACCATCCACAAACCCATACCAAGTTGCAAGAATTGGACTTCAGCCGGGTGGACCTCTCCTTGGTTTTTCCGTTCTCGGACTAAAATCCCATTATATTTAGAAAGTGAATTTTTTAAAAATTTTTAAAAACATTTGTTTACATATGTCATTCGAATTCAATAAATATTAAAAATTAAAAATGTTGATCCTAAAATATTAAAAATTTTATTTATAAAACAGTGAACTTTTTTTAATTTTTACTCCCTTAAATTTTGAAAATTTAGGTTTAGTGAAATCATCTTTATTTTGAAAATTTAGGTTTAGTGAAATCATCTTTTTTTTTTTTCTTTTTTGTAATGAGTTTAATTCTATGACTATAAGTGAATATTTCAATGTCCTTTTTTTATTTTATTTTAAATTTAAATTATCAATTAAACAGTTATTTTTATCGAAACACTTTTGCTTTCAATTGCTACTTAGCAAAAAGCTAACAACTAATATTTAACAGCTACTAAAACAGATAACTATTAAAATAACTAATAGCTGTTAAAATAACTAAATTTGCTGAACCGATCCTTAGTCTAATTTACACGTCATGCTATCTATGAATTTTTCAATTAGTAGACCATAATGATGATTGAAGGAAATTTGATTCGCGAATAATGAGGCAGGAAGACTTGTCTAGTCTTTAAGATTAAAATTGCTTGGCTGGAATGAAAACACAGCATAATGGTTAACTTGTTAAAGAAACTTGGAGCAAATAAAGACTTGCATAAGTCTTTAAAGAGCGACTGATTTTGACACGATGTTTCAATTTCGTCCTTCTAAATTCTAACAATTCACTTGTTGATTGTCTTTTTTTTTTTTTTAAAAGAAGAAGAGGAAACTTCGTTAATGAATAGAACCAGAAATAAAAAGAGATTCAATATGAGAAGAGCATCGATGTGAGAAGAAATCTCAAACTAAATAAATAAAAAAATTCAATAATGAAGTAAAGAGCATCGATGTGAGAAAGAAATCTAACTAAATATGAAAACCATATGAAACAAGATAAATTGCTAAGCATGAGAAGCTTTATTTACCGATCTCCTAACCTAATCAATAGTAACATGAATCACTTATTGTTCACACAACTCAAACACAATCAACCTCTTAGAACAAGATCTGGATGTCCTTTTAATCAGAGGATTATAGTGATTTGCAAAATAAACATTTGCATGTAATAAAGCATAATGAAATCCTTATCAACATAATTCTGCAATGAATACTAATACTAATAAATATAAATTAGTTGATAAACAAATTAACAAAACTTAATAATTTAATTATATAATAATAAAAATTAATCAGAACTTACTTTTGTCCATTGAATTAATTTTCCTGATATATCTAATATATGATAAAAATAATGTTGGGAGATTGAATACTATAAGAGATATGAATGATCCAAATATATTTTTTTTCTTTACTTATAATTTGTGTTTCCTTAATTTAATTTAATATTTGTTTTGTTCATGAAATTTAAGATTAAACTTAAACTCACATAATATATATTTAAGATATATAGATTGTTAAAAGAAATTTAAACACACCTTCAAAAATCATTCGTTTTACCTATTATATATACACGATGTTACACTTTACCAATAACTAAAAAGAAATTATTATTAGGCAGTTATAGTAATTAAATAATTCATCATTTTTCTTAATGTAATTGTCATTCGGTTGCTCGATCGTCCAACTATTGCAAAACAACATTTTCTCTCGCTTTTTGTTTTTTCTTTTTTCCATCCACTGTCACAAGTGACATCCAGACATAGTTTAGCTACGAACCTTCTTAGTTTGTAGATTTTTAAATTCAATATTCATTACAAAATTATGGTTTGGAGGAAATATGATCGAACTGAACTATTACATTTGCATGACCGTAACGAAAAGGTTTGGAGGAAATATGATCGATGAATATTACATTTGCATGACCGTAACGAAAACGTAGCATAATGGTTAATTTATCAAAGAATTTAGAGGCAAAGAAAGACTTGCATAAGTCTTCGGATAGTGACTGAATTTGACACAACACTTCAATCTAGTCGTTCTCAGGCTTAACCATTCACTTGTTGATTGACTTTTTTAATTAGAGGGTTATAAGTGATAGGCAAATAAATTTCATCCTTTGCCTGAAGATAAGGATCAATACTCTAATAATATCCCTACATGGTACATGGCGTAGGGAAAAACTTATTTATACTCTGTTTATATCTCCACCTATAAACTAAAATAATAAAATTTAATATTTTTTATTGAAATGAGAATATTTCTGTTCATACATTTGGAAAAAAAAAAATTCGAAACAATTTTTTAAAAAATCCCTAATTTCATTTGCTTGGTCTATAAATGAGGTCATGCACCGGATCTAGACAAAATTTTTCCATATGGTGCATGCATGCAAGACTTGAAAAGTTCTTGCCTTCTTAGATGTACTTTTATTTTATTTTGGTTTTAATATTTTGTTTAATTATGAGCTATTTCAAAACAATACAAAAATATCAGTCTTAGCTTATTTGCTAATTCGTTTTTTTTTTTTTTTTGAAAAACCCTTGAGGATTTTCTAAAAAAAAAAAAAAAAAAAAGAAAAACTTTGAGAAAAAAGTTCGATAATGCAGAAACCAGAATAAAACGTAATTTCTAAAAGATAAAAAAATTATGATCCAATTTTGTTAAAATGAATTTAGAGTAAATTTATTCTAGAGTAAATTATTCTAACTATTAAAAAAATTATGAAACAAAATATAGTGTAATTTATAATAACAACAAAAATAGAATAGAATTACAGTGGCTCTTGCACTAAGTGGTAGAAATTAAAGAGCGAATGTTTAAAATAATTAGAAAAAAGAAAAAGAAGAGAGAACATTATCATGATTCAAACAAGAAGGGAATCAAGTGGTCTATAAATAGGGAGTGATATATGCTGAAATTGATCATAATTAAATTTGGCAAACACAAAACATGGGTTTTGGTTGCTTACTGTGGCATTTTCAATTTCTCTGCCTCCTTCTATTTCACTTCTGTTTTCAATCTCATTCTTCAAATATTACAAATTCCCCTTTCTCAAATGTAGTTTGCCAGCTTGATCAAAGCAATGCCTTGCTCCAATTCAAAAACTCCTTCTCCATTACGAGTTATGATCCTTATCTTAATTCTTATTCCAAGACAGATTCATGGAAAGAGGGCACGGATTGTTGCTTCTTTTGGGATGGTGTCAGCTGTGACTTTAATACTGGCTATGTGATTGGGCTTAACCTTTCTAGGAGTATGCTTTATGGTAACTTCCATTCTAATAATTCTCTTTTCGCTCTTCATCATCTTCAAAAACTAGATCTCTCTTCCAATAATTTCAGAGGCTCCATAATTCCATCTCACCAATAATTTCAGAGGCTCCATAATTCCATTCTCAAATGGCCATTTGTTGAGCTTGACACAACCCTTAAATCTACGATTGAGCTTGACACACCTTAATCTACATTATTCAAGCTTTGCTAGCCAAATTCCATTAGAAATCGGTCAGCTATCCAATTTGGTTTCTCTTGATCTTTCCCAGAACTTTGGTTTGACATTAGAAACAACTGCTAGTTTTGATAGGCTTATTCGAAACTTAACCAAGTTGCAAGAATTAGACCTGAGCGATGCAGACCTGTCTTTGGTTTCTCCTAATTCCTTTATCAATTTATCTACTTCTTTGTCATCCCTCATACTCTCATCTTCTGGGTTGAGAGGGAGATTTCCAGACAGTATAATTCAGCTTCCACATCTGGAAGTCCTAGACTTAGCGTATAATGAAGGCCTCAATAGCACTTTTCCAACGTCAAATTGGAGTCTTTCACTCTACCACTTGTCTCTTTCTCAAACTGAAATTCCAATATATTTAGAAAATAAATTTTTCAAAAATCTAAATTTGTTAGAATCACTGCAACTCAGAAGTTGCAATTTCATAGGGTCTAATCTTGCATTGTTTGGTAATTTATCAAAACTCACTGAGTTGGATCTATCGTCTAATAATTTCGTTGGTCAAATTCCATTAGAAATCAGTCAACTATCTAATTTGATTTCTCTTGATCTTTCCGAGAATAGTCTTTTAATACAAACAACTACTAGCATTAACAAGCTTGTACTAGCATTAACAAGCTTGTTCGAAACTTTACCAAATTGCAACAGTTGGACTTGACGTTTACAAACCTCTCTTTGGTTTCACCTAATTCATTTATCAATTTATCTTCTTCTTTGTCATCTCTCACACTTTCATATTCTAGATTAAGAGGAAAATTTCCAAATAATATAATTCAGCTTCCAAACCTTAAAGTTCTTGATTTATCAAAGAATGAAGGTCTCACTGGCTCCACTTTCATATCAAATTGGAGTATCTCACTCAAATACTTGTCACTTTCTTCAACTAAAATTTCGATTTATTTAGAAAATGAATTCTTCAAGAATCTGAAGTTGTTGCAAGTACTGCAACTCAATAGTTGCAATTTTATAGGGTCTAATCTTGAATTGTTTGGTAATTTATCCAAACTCAGTGTATTGGAACTTGGATATAATAATTTCACTTCACTGGTCAATTCCATCCTCAATTGCGAAAACGTTTTGAACAAACTTTCTATCGCTTGGACCTTTTCACACAATAATTTTAGTGGCCCAAATTCCTGTTTAGCCCTCATTTGCAAACCCTTAGCCAGGGGCTCTCCCATTACTTTATGGCAAACGAACATATCAAGTGGTTCCAATTCATCTTTTCATTGGAAACTTTTTAACCAACTCCAATTATGTTGTTCCTTTCACACAAAATTTTTAGTGGCCCAATTCCTCCCTCATTTGCCTCATTTGCAAACCTTAGCCAGCTCTCCCATTTACTTATGGCAAACAACAATATCAATGGTCCAATTCCATCTTTCATTGGAAACTTTAACCAACTCCAATATTTGTTCCTTTCATACAATAATTTTAGTGGCCCAATTCCTCCCTCATTTGCAAACCTTAGCCAACTCTTCATTTTGTATATGAAAAACAACAATATCAATGGTCCAATTCCATCTTTCATTGGAAAATGTAACCAACTCCTACTTTTGTCACTTTCATACAATAATTTTAGTGGTCCAATTCCTTCAGATATTTGCAGGCTCTCTAGCCTATGGTACTTGAGTTTGTCTAATAACTTGCTCTCTGGTCAAGTATGTCAATTCAAATATAATAATACATTAGAATATGTTGATCTGAGCCATAACAAGTTGTCTGGCACAATTCCAAGCTCAGTTTTCAATGAGGTGGACTTGATGGTTCTCATTCTTTCATCAAATGAGAAATTGACAGGAGAAATTCCTTCTGCAGTTTGTGAGTCAAAATCACTCCAAATCCTTGACCTGTCGAGTAACAATTTTAGTGGTCCCATTCCACAATGTTTGGGAGACTTCAGCAGTAGCCTTTCAGTGTTACATCTGGGTATGAACAATTTCAATGGAGTTCTCCCTCAAGTATTTTCAGAAGGCAGTAACGTGAGATATTTGAATTTCAATGGCAACCAACTGCAAGGGAAAATCCCAACGTCCATTTCCAATTGTAAAGATTTGGAAATCCCAACGTCCATTTCCATTTGTAAAGATTTGGTAATTTTTAGATATGGGCCAACAATTGAGATAGAGGACACATTCCCTCTTTTCTACAAACTCTTTCTAAAAGTTGGCAGATTTCTTACAGCTACGATTCCAATAGGACTCCATGGTTTAAGTGGGAAAGCCCCACTTCCATTTTGCCAACTATTTCTGTTTTCCCAAGCTACGGATTTTGGCTGTTTCCCAAGCTACGGATTTTGGACCTCTCCAACAACAATTTCAGCGGACCTTTGCCTTCATATTATTTCAATAATTTCGATGCAATGATCAATGTTGATCAGCATATGACATACATGGGAGCACCAAACGACTCCTATGATTATTCTGTGAGGTTGACATGGAAAGGATTGGAAATTGAGTTGGTGAAAATCCAAACTCTTTTAACAACCATTAATTTGTCAGGTAATAACTTCACAGGAAAAATTCCAAAGTCAGTTGGACAGCTTAAAGGACTTAAGCAGCTCAACATGTCTCACAATCATCTCATAGGCAATATTGAACCATCAATACCATCAATAGGAAATTTGACCAATCTGGAATCTTTAGACCTCTCTTCAAATAATCTTACTGGAAGGATTCCGATCCAATTGGCAACTTTGACATCCCTCGCAGTATTTTCTGTTTCGCATAATCAACTTGAAGGACCCATACCTACAGGCTCTCAGTTTAACACATTTGATAATAGCTCGTATGAAGGAAACACAAGACTGTGTGGATTTCCACTGCAAAAGGCTTGTAATTCTGGTGAAAGGCAACAAGTCACGACACCATCAGGCGAAGAAGATTCAAACTCTGATGAAAATGGACTTGGATGGAAATCTTTTTTCACAGGATATGCATTTGGAGCAGTGTTTGGTCTCGCAATGGGATACCTTGTGTTCAGAACAAAAAAACCTACTTGGTTGGTGAAGCTGATTGAAGGTGAAGGACATCCAAGGCTGAAAAGAAGTATCAACAACACCTGCATATCTTATCAGAGAAGAAGAAGAAGAACAGAGAAGAAGAATAAGAAGACAATTAGTGAAATGGAATGCTTTCTGAAGGGTAAGTTTTATATCTGTCTTCATATCAAATTAACAAAGATTTTATTTCATTGATGAACCTTTGGACTTTTGTTAGGCTTAAATCAAATTGAATGGAATAAGCAGATGTGCATTTGCATGCCAAGTGGAAAGAAAGAGATCTCTTCTGTTGCTCCAGAATCAAATGCGCTACTTGGAACATCGTACAACCAAAGCTCTTTTTTTAAAATTTTTTTAAAGCTATAATTCCTCTCTTTTTTTTTGTTGTTTTTATTTCTTTTTTTCTGTATGTGCAATATGTAAAATAATTGTAAAGTCAGACTTTGGATTTGTCACTTTGAAATAAATTCAAAATCATGTGAAAAAGAAAAATTCCACAATAAAAGAAATAGTTATTTCTTGCCGGGAGGAGGACTAAAAAGGCCCACGTGCTCTAAGGTTCCCATGATTATGAAAGTTGTTGGGGTTTGCTTGTCTCTTTCTTGCTTGTCTCTTTCCAAAATTGCAGAAGGGACAGAGTTGGGTGTCCTAATTTAGTTCCCGAGAACCAAACAAATTTGCCAGCATAAACTTAGTATTTCCTTCTGTGTGATAAGAATCACTATAGAACAGTCATAAATTTTATATGCAACGACAAATGATATAGTACAAATCGGAAATTGATATTGCGTTTTTTCAAAAAATTTTCAGTCACTAGAAGATACTAAGTGAAAACTAAAAAATAGTTTAGTATTTTTTTCATTAATTTAATAAAATTCTCTAGTTATTTTGAACAAAGCGATTTTTTTTTTTTTTTTTTTTTTTGTGTTGAACGGAAATGAAAACAAATTAACTATTTAATATTTTTTTTTTAAAAAAAAAAGATTTTTAAAAAAAAAAGAGGAATGAACTCATGAATTAGAAAAAATCTCAGGAATTAAATAATAATTTATCCTATTTAATTAAATAATCGTATTAACTCATTTTCATGTCTCTGAGTATAAAATTCATGATGATGAACTACATATTGACTGTAACTTTCCTTTTTACACAGACTAATACGAAAGTGAGTCATAGCATATGATGTGTTTATGTTTATAATGCGATTGATTAATTAACTAACTAATACCTACGTATGTTTAGCTTCATATAATTGTAAATTTGTAACAAAAGTCAAAAACTCGCATTTTTCTCTTTTTTTTTTTTATTTCTTGAAATTCTATGATGCTACTAATTATGCTATTCAAATAAATTTAAAATGTTTTAAAATACTCTTAAAGATGACCAATAAAAAATTACAGTTTATTAATTGATTGATGGATTATAATTTATTTAATTAATAAATATATGATAAATAAGACATTTAAAACTTTTTTATTATTTTATTTTTTTCCAAATTTATTATTATTTATTTGAAATTTTTGCATATTCATGGCGTAATTAATATATTATTACGGTGAGTCTCCGGTTGGTCCCAAAAGGCAGAATCCTCTTCCCCTTGCGCGGATCGTGGAATTGTCGTTCAATTTTCTATCAGTTCGCTCTAAGACCCAGTTCATAATTTTTTGTAATAAATTCCAAATTTGACAATTTTGGTTAGATATGTTGATTTCGAATAAATAGTTAATTAAAAAGCAATCATAGGATCTTGGAATGTAAATATATAATTTCCTTAATTAATAGATATGATTGATCCATATATAAATTGAAATGGTATTGAGGAAGATGGGGATTGGCAGAATACTTCAAGAATAATTAAAAGATGGGGATTGGCAGAATACTTCAAGAATAATTAAAATTACTTGCAACGGTGCTTAAAGAATATTATTTCAAAGAAAAATTATTGATCGATAATATAGTTAAACTATAAATCAAATGAAGTGGCGAATTAAATTCTCTGTGTAGTAAACATAGTATATAAGTTTAAGCAAGGGAGAACCTAGTATTTGATGGACAGTAGCTATTGCACTATTGCAGATAATTGATACCATTTTATATAAACTAATGTAATAATGGACTTACATATATTTTCAATGTTTTTATATGATTAGTGTCGGTTATATCTAGAAAGGGAATTTTTATGTCAAGACGGAGAAGAGTACATGAAGCATTGATTGATACATAGTAGTTAAAGTTGTAAATTGGGTTACTTAGAAGATGCTTTTCTTAAATTATAATTTAATTGAACCATTGATTCTTAATAGCTAGTCTAGAATTTAATAAATATTAAAGAACGTCGTTGATATCATCCTAAGTAAAGAATGATTGAGAATATTATTGGAAGCAGTTGAAACTTACTTTAATTCGTAAATTTATAGTTTAGATAGTTGGGTGATAATGTTGATGTTTAAGGAGGATGGGTAGCCCGACAGATAGGCTGTGTGAATTGAGTAAATGTTTAGGTGAATAAAAAATGGTTATAGCAGTCGGGATAGTTGTTGTCAATTGCCCAATGGATGGGCTTTGAGAATTTATTACTGAATTATAGTTTTAAGCAGGTGGTTTAGTTCAATTTCTAAGGAAAGTGTTCAATTTCTAAGGAAAGTTTCGCCGAAATTTCGATAAAAATTTAGGCTAATCATATTTTAATAATTATGTTAATAGGTTTAGTTAGGATTAATTCTTTAACTTGATATAATTTAAAATAACCTCTTTTATTTATTTATTATTATTACTTAATTATATTATTATTATTTATTATTTATTTTTCAAGAATCAATATTTAATATTATTATTGGTAATTAATACTTCTTGTATTTATTTGAATCGATATATGAATGTGTTATTTACTTGCTCTGCCATAATATGAGTTTAATTACTTAATTTATGCTTGCATTTTTAATATGCTTGCATTTAATTGCATTGTTTGATTATTTGTGTTGTGATATTGCTATGCCTTATTTGTGTGGAATTGGGATGAAATGGGTCACTATGGATTTGTGAGAGTGGTCTTCGATATCGTCGGCCAGGTATGGAGAGATCAACGCCCCCATGTGCATATCTGATATGATATAGATGATATGAAAAACCACAAGGTGGCCTCCTGTTGGTATGGAAAAGAAAAGAGGGTATAAAAAAAAGGAGAGGTTTGGTCAAGTGAGGATTAGACTGGTCGGCTAGATATGGGAGATCAACTCCCTGGTACACACGTCATGAGAGAATGGGCCATATGGAAGGACGGCTCATCGGGGGTTTCGGTGAGGTCACTGACTAATTTTCTCGTTATGTGATTATGTGAAGGTAATAATATTTTTGATTGTTGTTGTTATGTCATTTGTGTGATCGCTTGCTTGATCATATAACTAGTCGGATGACTAGATGGATATATTTACACATTCGTACTAGATGGATTATATTTAACACATTCGTTACATTCGTGTGAATGCATGTGTTGTGCAATAATTATTATTTTTTATAAAACTTACATGTCCTTGTTTAACTTTTTCAGGAAGTAGATTCTTCTTGTCCTAGTAAAGCTCTATTTCCTTCATTGCAAAGCTAGAAAAGAATTTTCTAATTTCATTAATTAATTAAATAATTATATGTATGAGAACTTATTTATATTTATATTTATTTATTAGTGAATTCTACAATTGTAAGATTTATGCACCTCTAGTCATGTATTAAAATAGATATAATAATTTTATGAAACCATAAATGTTTTAATTATTTTTCTAAGTGTATGTATTAATCAGTAGCCCATATTATGAATGATAAGTATTATTATTAGGCTCAAACTATGTTTTATTCGAGATATTGATATTGAAATTGGGATGATAAGTATTATTATTAGGCTCAAACTATGTTTTATTCGAGATATTGAAATTGGGCTAGGAATGTGTGATTATATATATATATATATATATATACATGAATTTATATGGGTTTATTACTCCTAGGATTTTGCATGGCGTGTATGAGTTTGGTAGTTTAGGCTTACTACGGGCCTCAAGAGCCTTAAAGTTATTTGGGTCCTATTCCGTTCCGAGTCATGATATTGGGTTGTGACAGTAACATGGATGCATTTAGTTATGTTAGTATATTATTTACGTCTAACATAAACGTGTTTCATTAATCAGACACTTTTTGTATAAGTCTAATTAAATATATTTGGAATTATATATAAATAATCAACCTACTCATATAATTAATCATGTAAGATTTTCTCTTTACATTATTATAATATTCTAATAGAAATTTCCATGATGAATGATTTGGATTAGGGTTTCTCTTAACTAATCAAACTATTGTCTATGCAAAAATGGGACCTTATTCTAAATTATGGGAATTAGTGCACAATTGCTGGATGATTATGGTTCTTGGCGTCAAATTGTGAGATCACACTATTAGTATATACACGATGGAATTTCAGCAATCTATCAATATCATAAACATTTTTTAACATAATTTTTGTTGAAAATTTGTTTGAATTATGCTATTTAATGGATTGAATAAATCTATTTCATACTATAGCTAGAATCATCAATTGAGACTATTGGTATGAAATTAATTAATTTACACGAATTAATTGATATTGATTCATAAATTTACTTTTATTTCATGCACTTGCTTTCAATATAAAAGCCTTTCAGCAACAGTTTCTTCTTGTTTAGCATTTATATAACTAATATAAAAAATAGTTAATTTTGCCGAATCGAATAAATAAATTTAGCAACACAGTTGAGAATGGCATTGTCCACTTGCTGGAGTTAATTAGGACCCTTATATCTGGAGCATTAATAAAGGTAAGCCAATTATTGGTTTTCATTGAATGAGCAGATCGCCATCGACATCTGAGTAGTTAGTTGCTTTAAATTGATGGTGACAAACAGCCACAAAAATGATCAAACAGAACAATCTGAGACTCAGACAAGTTACAAAAATCTAGAACCATCCCCATTTAGGATTGTAAACAAATCGAGTCAAGCCGAGTTGGTTTAAGATGCTCATTTAAAAAAGCTTAGACTTGTCTGTTTAAT